CGCCGAGTCCGTGGGAGGACACCGGAATTCAGAAGCCGTCGGGACGTCCAAAACCAGTCAGCCAATGGCAGGGCCCAGACATACGGGGACATCTGCATGACAAATGGCAGGGCCCAGACATACGGGAACATCTGCATGACCAATGGCAGGGCCCAGACATACGGGAACATCTGCATGACCAATGGCAGGGCCGGACATACGGGAACATCTGCATGACCAATGGCAGGGCCGGACATACGGGGACATCTGCATGACCAATGGCAGGGCTCAGACATACGGGGACATCTGCATTCTGGAGGTATCTGAAGGACCAAGGGGAATCACCGGCACCAGGCAGGAACAATAGTTCATGAGAGAAGACCGGTCAGCGAGTCAGCAGGAGAGACAATTCCTAAACATTGGAAGCCAAGAAAACGAGGATCCAAGATGAGGAAAGAGGTCACCTGACCAGACAACCCAATTCTGCTCGGAGATCGGAGACTCCTCACAGCGTTATATCCCGAAGCATAGAACATGGTGGAAGGACCGAGGTAACCAACCCTGAAGTCCACACCTGCAGGAGGCACCCCCCCCCCAAAGGGTAAGCTGGGGTGAGGCACCCTGAACTCTAAGCGTCTCAAAAACAGCAGAATCAGAAGGATCGGTGGGACGCCTTCCAACCAGGCACCGGGGGTGGTCCCCGAGGTTCATAGACAATGCTGCAAACTTGCCTAACCTCTTATCACTGTCATGAGTAGAATCATCCGAGGTACCCCAAATCAGTGCAGCATCCCCCGAGAAACGAGGGGTACGAATCTCGGATGCACTAAGAAAATTCACGAGATGGGGACAGGAAGGAATCTAAGGAGGTTCCCTCAGAAGGCTGTAGGTCAGCGGGGAGGACCTATAACCTGGTGAAGAGGACTATCACCTTCCCCTATATCTGCAGCAAGGTCCCAGTGTGTCCCGTGTGATGACGGTCCAGCAAAGCGCAGAGACATCCAGCAATGAACACGCAGGACAGGAGGGACATTCTAGTACCAAACTGACTCTTCAATGTGGAGACAACCCGATAAAAGGGATGCAGAAGGTGATTCCTCGTTTCTAGGAGAGACAGTGTGGTCAGGATTGGCACCATCTAGCGCGAGGACCAGGTCCCACAACCACTCCTCCTTCTTGGAGGTGAAGGACCTGCAGTGCAGCGATGTCCAATGGAGATCAGGTCAGAATACTGACCCACAGAAGGAACCCAAACAGAAGTCCCAATCCCAAGGATACATGGGTCAGTGACCAGGAAGGAACCACCCACCACCAACAGAGACCAGCAGATTGCGCCAGGGACTTTCTGGTCCAAGGAGAACATCGGAACGTCCTCCCCCCAGAGTTCGGGCTCCCAAATATAGAGAGGAAGCTGAAGAGTCCATGCGAGAAGGATAAACCATACTGAGGGGACACTGCCCAACAAAAGTGTGAAGACAGGAGAGTTACTGCGACAGATATGGGGCACCTTGGACAAGGTCTGCAGACAACAGGACCTACAGAAGGACTGACGCTCTTAAAGGAAGGGTCTGCTAAGTGTCTCCCAGCGGGTATGCGGGTATGCATGGAGCTGTAGGAATTGGTTCCTTTTGACTTGTAGGTCGAGAAGTCTCTCAGAAAAGGAATCGGGCCGAGGGGTATCATGTACTGTGCAGGGTACAACCACTTCTGAGGGTAAGATACTCCTCTGCAGGGAGGAATAGGAGTCCGAGTGGGATGCCACTCTCAGGAATTACCCCCTACCAGGGTAGAAAACAGGTCCCAGGATGTGGGGGACCTGGAAGGACGCGCAATGACTTGCAGCTGTGTCAGAGCTACGGGTGGTATCTACAGCACTCCAATGTCAGGAAGGTAAACAAATGACCCGGCTGGTCATGGGGGAGACCTCGGCCCAGAGAAGACTCCGATGAGGAAAACCCAATAACAATGGGGGGGGGACTTGAGGTCTACTGGTGTCGGTTCCTTCTGGGTATACACCCCCAGAACCAGTATTGGAGGATGGGCTGAGCTCACCCACAGCCGCGGAAGTTGGGCCAGTTTAAGGAAAGCAACTAGGCCCAACGGGAGGCAAGGCCTTCAGTACTCCCAGGTGGCTGGTGCTGGTTCCGGGCCGCCAGGGGTGATCCAGTCACTGCAGACGAGCGACGGAAGGAGACTGGAGAACCCCTGTGGACCTTCAGGAGCAAAAACAGAAGAGGGATTGGACCTTCCGCTACGAAGAAATGAAACTCGCCTGAGAATCCATCAAAATGTTCACTATAAAGAGGAGAAATGCACCAGAGGGAACAAAACATATTCCGGGACCCCCAACTTCTGTCCCAGGGGATAATAGGGTGACCCGCATACACGGCACCCGCATACACGGCACCCGCATACATGGCACCCGCATACACCCGCATACACACGCATACAAGGCACCCGC